TTTTTGCGGTGTGATAATCACAACCGGATATTTTTGGAAAAAATTGAAAATGTTGTTTTCTCAATTTGAAAAAAAACGATAATTTCGCAAATTCTTAAAACCTATTCTACTTTTTTAATTTTCAACCTCATATTCAGATTGTGTGAGTTATTTTACATAGCAAATGACTATAAAATTCACGACCTTCAACTATTTTGTTAAAAAAAATTTTCGCAGAATTCATATGGTTTTCTAAATTTTCAAATGCAACGCGCAAGTACTTAGAGTTATCATATTCGAATAAAATTTTACACAGCTTATTTTTAGACCAAAAGACATCTTTTTCCGCCTGGCAAACCAAATTTTATTTTTAACGAACGGTCTAGTGTACACATTATTGTACACAGAAGACATAAATTATTTTATATTTATGACATATTTGACTAGCAATAATGAGATGGTTCAATCTTCAGTGTTTAAGTAGTCCAAGAACTCTACACATTTCATTTTAAATTACTTTTAATTTGATTTTCACTTTAAAAAATTTTAATTAGAAACCGGTTTCTCTCTTTGCGTCAGGAAACAAACTTTATACTTAAGATCCTCTCAGTTGTTTCGTTTGAGTGTGGCATTGAATGAAAAAAATACATGCTTTTTCAAACTGTGAAAAAGTATCACTGTCGAAGGAATGCACCTATATCAGATTTAGCGATTTAGTGCCAATTTGGCGATTTTTTTTTGGATATTTGCGCGTAAATATTTTGGATATCGCCATTGGCGATTTTTGGCGATTTTTTCCCTTCAAATACATTTTCTCCAATTATAAAAATATACAAAACTTAGTTTCCAAGATGATTTTCCAGAAGGGACTAATGAACTGCGTGATAAACTTGACTTAATAAGCATACTAAAAGACTGTCAAAAATTTTTAATCACTCTAATCGAAGAACTTTCGAAACGATTACCTAGTCAATTAAATACTTTTAAAAAAGCTTTGATTTTGTCACCAGAAAAGTCTTTGAATCAAAGAGTGGGA